GGGTGGGACGGGGCGGCGAGGCTTGGGGTGAGGGATGTTGGGTGCCCGGATTGGGGGGAGGCGCAGGTGTTTGAGGAGGGCGAGGTGCCTGTTTTTTGGGTGAGTGATATCTAGTCTTGTTGTAGGGAACGAGGGAAAGGCTGACGGGGTAGGCGTGTGGGGTGACGCCGCAGTTGGCGGTTGAGATGGCCGGGGAGAAGATCGAGGGCCTGGTGTTTGCGCATGAGCCGGGGAATATGCTGATTACGGATTGGACGGCGGAGGATCTGGAGGCATTGAGGGAGAAGGCTGGGGTTGCGATGGCTATGTAACATACTGCTTCTGCGGGCTATTGGCATCGAACGGTGTGCAATTTGGCTGCCCCTTTTCTGGTCAGTCGAGCTCATTTTCTCTTTCAACAAGGTCCAGACCAATTATTAGATCAGAATAAATCTCGCATGACACTCGAGAGATCCCCCCCGTAATCATACATATACCCCCCATTGGCCATCCTGCCATTGCCATCCTCAAAGACCTGCGTCCCCACCCCCATAATCTGATTCTCCAGCGTCCCCACGGCCTCGAACCACTCCATCAGCTCCTGCGTCATCTGCGCCCCGTCCTGCGGCGTCTGGCTCTGGGTGCTGGTCGATGCGGCCATATCCACCGTCTGGTTTATGGCCGTCAAGACACGCTCGGCCGACTCCAACTCCATCGGATGCCGGTGGCGCTGCAGACCAACCTGCGGTCCGAGCTTGCGCAGGCTCTTGATCGATTTCCACAGCCGGCGGGAGATGTACGACTGCGTTGAGAACCCCTTGACCAGCTCCAGGGCCATGTAGAACTCCTCCTTGCACCGGCTGCTGAACTGGCTGGGGGTTTGCGCCACGGCCAGAAACAAGACGGCCAGCGCCGATACTAAGAACCAGTTGAAGGCGACCTGCTGCAGCTGGTAGATGTCCGACGTCTCGTGCAGCCGCGTGATGAAGCGGATGGTGTCCTTGGCCAGGTCAACGACCGTCTGGCACTCGGCCGGGTAGCGCACGATGTGTGCCGCCGAGTGCAGGACGGGCCGGTGGATGAGCATGCGCAGCTGGTTGGCGCGCAGGTACAGCAGCGAGCGCAGCCGGCGGATGCTGCGCGGTTCCGTGGCTGGGCGGTCGACCTCCACCAGGCGCAACGACTCCGGGATGGCGGCAGCCCATTGCAAGACCTGCCAGTCCAGGTAGTTCATCTCGTCCTTTTTGATCTCGCCGGTGTTGTTGAAGGCGGAGATGAACTTCCACACCTTGGCCGCGATGCGACTATACCGGATCATCACGCGCAGGTACGGCGTCTTTTCCTCGGGCTCGGGCAGCCAGGGGTCGATGTCGCTGTCCTCGAGAGCAAATGGCATCCCCGTGCCAAAGCTCCAGCGCATGTCCAGCGTGTAGATGGACCAGAACAGCCGCAGCACTCGATCGCGGCCGGCGGCCACCACCGTCGGATGACTGAGCGTCTCGCGCCGGTGCAGGCCCTTTTCCAGGCACATGCGCTCGACGATCCCGATCGTGCGCCATGCCAGCGCCTCTTCGTCCATTTGAAAGTAGAAAATCGCCTACCCCTCAGCATGCCTCGCGCCAACGGAAGGGAAAACTCACCACCAGAGTCAACAGGACAATACAGTCGATGTCCGGCGCGCCCCAGACACAATCGTCCGCCACATCACGCACACTCTCAAACAGCCGCATGGCCAGCTCACTGCGCCCGCTCGCCTCCGCCGTCAGCGCACACGCAAACACCAACCGCAGGATATGCACGTCGTAATCTCCCAGCCCGTCGGCCTGTCCGGTCCGCCGTGGCCACGCGCACCGGTCCAAAGGCCCATAGAGACCCTCCACCTGCCGCAGTAGCTCATCCAGCTCCAGCACGGGGTACATGATCCCCATCTCCTCCTCGTAAACCCGACACAGCCGGATCGCCTCGGCCTTGCTGATCGTCCAGAGCGGGTCCCCTGGACGGCCAGCATCCCGGGGGGACGGCGACGGCAGCAGCGGCGAGGGCTCCCGCGTGACGTCGCCGGCTTCGTCGACGTCGGCGCCCGGCTCATTGCGCTCGACGATCCCCCGGCGCTGGAGACTGCTCTTGGCGAGATCGAAACTAAACGCCGAGGTCGTGGGACCCTGGAAGGTCAGCTCCCTTGCTGACGAAGGCCGACGGAACGCCCGCCCGGAATTGGTCCCCTGATCCTGCGGCGAGGCGCCAGGTCGTGTGAGTGCGTAGACGGCTGCTGAGAGCGCGGATATCTGCTCCTGCATGGCGGACATTTGATCGATGAGACGAGTGATATTGCTGCCTGGTCAGTTTACGGGTGCATCTCCCAAATCGAACGACGCACATACTGCTGTTCACCCGAGGCGTCGTGTCGCGTACTCTCCGCGTAGACGCATTCGATCTGTTGCCGGCCGCATCGCTGACAGGGTGACTGGCCGTTGCATTTGATCTTGCGTCGTTTGCATTCATTGCTGAGACTCGGTACAATTAATGAATTGTCTTCCTGGGTCGGTGGTAGGCTCACCATGCTTTGGTGATGTATTTCCGCCGGCGTTTCCGAGGACGGGGGTCCTCAACCTGGGCGTTTGGCCACGTCTCTGCGACCGGAGGGCTTTGAGAATGATCCATAGTCTGATTCTATGATGGAGTAGGATAGAAAAGGATGGAGGAATACGAGTGTGCACAGTGAGGAATGTAGATGAGAGGAGGAAATGCGGGGATTCCTTCCGTCCTCCGAGGAGCGGAATTAGTGCCTTGGTGCCTGGGTCCTGTGTGCGTGTGTGCCTGATGGTATGTATACAGCACTTTGTGATTGAATTGAAACAAGAATTAACTGATTGAATCTATTGAATTGCAATGGCTAACTACATACTCGCTTTTACGTAACAACATGTATCTATTTACTGATTCTCACAATTCCTTGGTCCGCTCATCGCTCTCGGCCATCCATTGCTGCAGCTTCGACGCATCCCGGGGCTTGAACCCAACCTTGAACGGCTTAGGTTCCGTGGTCAACGCCGTGGGAATCGCATTGCACTCGATAGCATCCAGGATCGGCCGGTCAGCAGGATCGCGCGCGGGATGCATCGTAAAGGCCGTGATCAAGCGGATGTATGCGGTGTACAGCTCCCGGTTGGCCAGATGGGAGCCGGCACACATGCGCGATCCAGCACCGTAGCCGTAGTGAGGGGTGCCCGAGCCTTCGCTGACGTCGAGGTACCGCTCGGGAATGAACCTGTCGGGCATCTTGAAGTGTTCTTCGTCGTAGTCGGCGGCCCATGCGTTCTAGCACGTCTGCGCGTCAGCATTGAGGGAACAGGGAAGAGGAAACGAGCGTACCATAAAAAAGGTCGTTCCGGCGGGAATGGTGGCACCGTTGTAGACAATGTCCTTGGTGCTCTCGCGGGGCAGGCAGATGGGGATGACGGTCCAATATCGCAAGGTTTCCTTGACGAGAGCCGTGACGTAGGCCACTTTCTCCTCGACCAGGCACTTTTCCCACGCGTCTCCGGTGGGGTAGACTTTCATGATCTCTTCGTAGGCCTTTTGCTGGATGCGCTGGCCGTCCTCGGATGCCAGGTAGGCGATGCCCATGATCAGATTGCCCGGCACCGTATCCAGACCGGCGGATACCATGGTCAAGCAGATGGATTTCACCTCGGCTGTACAGGTCAGTAGGCATCAAAACGGATAGAGGTGTACTTACCCTCGTTCAGCTTGGCTTCGGGATCTTTGAGAATGTTGCCAGTGATGCATGGCTTGTCCGTGCCCTTGGCGATGCGTTCCTTGAGCATATCCAGCAGGTACGTCAGGTACTTGTCGCGACGGACGCGGAATTCCTCGGCCTCGCGATTGGTCTTGGGGAACATGCGCAGCAGCGGGATATAGTCCTGCCAGTTGTTGCTGGTGCTGCGAAAGTTGGACACGCCGCGCTCGACGTCGACAATCTCCCGTAGCAGGGCATCGTCGACGTTGCCCTCGATGCGGAACCCATAGTTGAGCGTGAGGCTGGTGTTGAGCGCAAACCGCTGGAAGTAGGCCGTCGGATTGATGTCCACCGCGCCGTTGCGGCAGTCCTTCAGCAGCTCCCGGATACTGGCCGTCGCTTCGAGGTCGATGATGGGCATGTACGACTGCACGGCGGGGCGATTCAGCGCCGTGGCCGCCGCCTTTCGCCGTCGCTTGCAGGACTCGTCCCAGGGCGAGGTGCCAATGGTGAAACCCTGCGAGCTGGAAACGACGCTGTGGAAGGTGTGGAAGGTGGGCCGCGAGATGAGGGCGGACTGGTCTTTGATCCACAGTTGTTTCACCGAGTCGAAGCTGTTGGCAAATACGATGCGCTTCTACGGGTTAGCAGTTGCCAGTAGCCATCCGAAATCCCGCAATTGCAAATGAAATGATAAAAGGCACACCTTGTTCCCCATGCGCACTTGGAACACAGGACCGTACTTCTTGGCCCATTTGGCCGCGACGGTGGCATGTTGGTCGCCGAGCTGCAGCAGATTGCCAAACAGAGGCACTCCGGGAATCTCTGGAAGGCCCTTGATCTTGGGGATATCCGTGCGATTCAGGTAGCGCATGAGAAAGTACACTGCCGCGAGCACGGCAATGACAACGGTCTGAAGCGCCATGATATCTCCTTGATATAGATATAGATATAGGTATAGGTATAGGTATATAGTCGCATAATAATCAGGTGCACAGAGGATGCGACCGTCTTTATAGTGTCTGAAACGTGGAGCACTGCCACGGTTCAGTTCCGTCAACGTCTGTTGTTACTGCATGCAGACAAATCAGAAATGCAGGCATAGCGTCATTACCATTACCTCCATGCAGCAGAGAGTAACCAGTGACTCTTGCTCAGTCTCTGTCACCCCTCTTTGGCCTCCGCACTGGTGCATCGTCCCCGCGGTTTGGCCATTCCGGTGTCTGTTTCTGTCATACAGCCAGCAGGGATCTTAGACCTTAGTCTCTCCACTTTAGCTGTACCTGTAGGCATATCTCTGCTTATCCACAATTGAATAGACGGCGTGGTATTGGTCCATCACAATCAACCGAGGACAAGACAAGCACAGCGGCATTTCGGAATCTCATTCCGCTGCGGTTGTGCGCGGATATGTCCGCATACACGGAACATCTGGACCAGTTTACGGATTGATTGATATTGATCTCAGTATAGGATGTCTGAATACTGTTTGTAGCTGAGTTGATTGCGGTGGTTCCATCAAGTTATGTGCCCATGGTCTGGCTTATCACCGTGATGCGCAGGTTATATATAGCGGGAAATCTCCAGAGAGACTAACAATCACTTTATAGCTCTTCGCTAGAACCAGGAATCTCTCATGAATAGGAACTAGATGTATGCATCATCGACAGTCCAAGCATACTCGAATCCAGTATTGGATCATACAGCATGCCCCCAACTCAATAACATCCAACGCCTCGCTACCCAAAACACAAGAACAAGAACAAGCCGTCACCAACTCATTGATACCTCCTCCTCCTCCTCTTCGACCCCCCAGGCACCCAATGATGGAAATACACCTGTCCAGCAGACGCAGACGCCGACGCAGACGCAGACGCAGACACAGACACACCCGAACCAGGCCTCACACCACTACTCCACGACCGCCGCTTATACGCCCGCCGCAGGAAGCTATCATCCAGCAGGACCCGCCGTCTACCAAGGCCATACGCCACCCGATGGCCCAGATCAGCCGCGTGCGCACTCTGTCTCTGCGCGTGTCTCCCGGCGAGCATGCTCTGCGGCTGCGGCTGCGGCTGCGGCTGCGGCAGTGGCACTGTAGCTTCTCGCACTCAGTATCATCGTCTCTTGTATATCACAGGGGACAGGACAAGGTACCTCGATAACTCCCCCGTAGATGGGGGTATACCCCATACCCATACCCATGCACCTCAGTGTAAGGATCAACAGCGACAGAGCGAGGCCGAGCAGCCGCCAACAGAAACGGGATGCGGACGGCGGGGATACCCCTCCTCAGCGCGTCCGTCAGAATCGCATACTCGTGTCTCCGTCTGTCGAGCTTTGCTTCTTCGACGGCGGTTTGCGTCGGTGGGAGCCTTGCGCGGGCCGGTGTCGGATCTTGACGGTCCAGAGGTGAGGTGGACATGATATGGTGTTTCTTTGGATTTGGCTGGGCTGATGGGACTGGGTGTTTTGTGCATTTATATACTCCATACTCGAGTGCGCGGCACACGACTCTTCCCCACATTCAGAGGGATCCACAGCGGCCGCGTCATGAATAGATCGACAGTTCCAGTAGTGCTGTGGTTGACGTGGGCGGGATAGTCGAGAATCTAGAATCAGATCAAGTATGGCGGTGGGTGTTTCATGTTGTTTCAACTATAGCGGTTTCTCTGGCTGTACAGCCAGATTGATCTTTCTGCGCTTCTCACGATATGCGCGCTTGTATAAACGATAGAGATTACTCATGCATTGAATCATCTACTGTACATAATCATAAGGCACACTGCCTTTCCAACGAGTAGCCAGAACCCAAGTGCAGAAGGAGAATACAATCCTACAGTACAGCATTCATGGTCGATGCGGTTGGCATATATGCGAAGAACGGACGCAAAGAGCACACTAGCGCGGCGGTGGGTGTGGAGGCATTCCTCCCGGAAGCGATCCAGCACTTGATCCTTGACTGTAACCCCGTTGATGTCCGGGTTTGTGGGCAGAAGGAAGAGGTTCGGCTAGGGATCCAGGACCAGACGGCCGCGCCTGAAGCGGGTGCATACCCGACGATGGACCGCCAGGGGCATAGCCCATCCCGCCTGCCGGGTTCGGCTGCAAAATCGCGGGCGGGGTGTACGACCGGCCCATGGCTGCCGACTGAGACGGCGGGACTGGCAGCCCGGCCGCACGGGAAGTGTGTGCTTGCGGCGGGGGTGTATTGTGGCCATAGCCGGCGCCACTCAATCCCAGCGGAGGGCGATGTGACTGCTGTTGATGGGCTCCGTTGACCATGGTCTGCACATGCTGCTGATATGTCTGGTGACCACTCGCGTGGGCCGACATATGGGTCGGTGGGGCCGGCGTTGTCTGCCCCGTCGAGGCATACGGCGCTGTGGACGCTGGCGGTCGGGACGCAAGGCCAAGCAGATTTGCTTGGGATTGGACGGGCGTCGGCGGACCCTGTCGCGAGCCATACCCGATGGTATTGCTGCGTGAAGTGGGAGATCCAACTGCAGGCCGATAAATCTGATTCTGCGAGCCTAGATCGCGCGTGCCACTAGGCGCTGTCTGCGTGTGTGCAGATGGCGACTGTGCGTAGACCAATCCTGGATACGAGGGACGCTGAGTCGGCGTCGGAGCTGGAGATGGAGCGGTGAGGTTTGGAAGAGAGTGAGCTGGATGGGGTTGCCCGGAGGTATATGGAGAGTACGACGGCTGCGGTGCCAATGTTGTGGCCGGACGATTACCCGGCTGCGAAGGCTGAGGAGGCGCAGGTTGTTGCTGTTGTTGCTGTTGGCCTCGCGGGTCGAACCGAGCCATCCAGTCGTTGTTCGCCGGCGGGCCGGGGGATCCTCCAGGGACAGTGGAGTAGGCCTGATAGTCCGAATAAGCACGCGAGGGCGGCAGGTACTGACTCTGCTGCGCGTAGAGAGGCTTTTGGGCGGCAGCAGACGCCAGCAACGCCTCCTCCTGACGCGACGGTGTCTGTTGAGGCAGCGAATGGGCCCCTGAGTACATGGGACGAGACGGCGACGCCGGCCGGCCTGGCGCGTTGAACGAGGCCTGGTCGCTGGCAAACCGCTTCCGAGGCTGTGGCTCCTCCGGCTCATCATTCAGAATGCTCATAATGTTGGACCGTTTAGCAGGCACCTGCCGGGGCGCCTCTGCGGGCTCCAGTGGAGTCGAATTCGGCCGCGGCGACTCCTTGGGCGGGGACAGAATCGGCGGCGGCTGGGACATTCCAGCAAGCTGGCCGGGCAATGGGTAAAATGACCGTTGGCTAGTAGAGTCGCGTCGAATGGGCGAGATCTCCGCTTCCTGCCGCTGCAAAGGCTGTGCAGGCGAGCCGGGAGGTTTCGAAAGGCTGCTTTGGCGGGAGTGAGGGGCCGCTGGCATGAATGCATGCTGGGGCTGTTGCTGTTGCTGCATGTACGCCTGCTGCGACGGAGGCATCGAGCCTTGGGCCGCAAGCAACGGCGACCCGTGCACGTCCATACTTGCGGTCCGGAAACCTTGTGCGAGGAGTGGCTCCATCCGACCCATTTCTGAGACCAACACGGGGGTCTGGCGTGCAGAGAGCGGTGTTTCCTGAGGTCGGACATTTGCGTGTGGCACCAGGGTCGCCGGAGCCTCCCGTCTTTCCTCGGTGAAGTAGCCCAAGCGGGGCCCCTGCAGACGCGGCGGTAGGCCCACCTGTGATCGGATAGCCCGAGATGGATCTTCACCGAGCATCGGCACTGCCGACATCGGTACGTTGCTAGCTTGGGCTAGTGGCGGGTACCTGGAGACCGTGCGCTCCTTCTCTGGAGGAGGTCGGGCATGCAAAGGTGCAAGTTGAGAGGGTGTGGCAGCATGCTTGGTCTTCGCGGTACGCGCCTCGTCCTCGGTGACAGTGTCAGTATGGGGTGCCAGTGGCCGAGGCATGATCGACGAAGGTGTCGCTTCATAGCGTCGCTTCGAAGCAAAGTTAGGCACCGGCAGAGGACCAGTCCGTTCACCACGAGCCTTTTTAGCCTCTGCATCAGCGACGATATCCTCGAAATCTTTCTGCCCCGAGTCTATGCGCCTTTGGAAGTAATTTTTGACCTGGCACAAGTCAGTAACTTGATGATTTGGATTATCGATAGGCGGAATGACTTACCATCACAGTAGTCTTCGTTTTCATAAAGTTCGAAATGCCCTCGAAATCTCTGCCAAAGTGGGCCAGCAGCTGTGGAAAGTCGCGTTGCTCGGGTACAGACCAGTAGCTAGTAGGTTGCAGTGATCCGTAGCCACCCTCTGCGTGCCTGGCAGATCCCGGAGTCTCTTGTTCTGCCGATTCGAAGACGTACATGCCTTCCCTCTGACGACCTCTTCCAGCCTTCGCTCGCGGAGGTGCCTCGTTGATATCTCTCTCGATCGTTTCCTTGATCCGTACAGTGGCTGTTTCAGACGCGCCAGCCATGGATGGCTCCGATGGTTCTGTTTTGGGCAGGTGGACGACAGGAGTGGTAACTGCTGGCACTGGCAACGTCTGCATTGGTTGTTCTGGAGGGCCTGGGTGCGGTACTTTGGACACCTGGGCCGGAGGCTGGGGCAGGGGCTGTGTCTGCTGCTGCTGCTGCTGCTGCTGTTGCTGTTGCTGAGCAGCTTTGCCTCGTCGATTGCCACGTGTGCCCGTGCCGGTGCGACCACCTCGTCTGCTGGGTTTGTCTCCTGGCTCACTGTCCTTGCCAGCACCGCGACGACCATTGGTATCTGTATCAGCAGCGGAGGAGTCTCCAAACGTAGGCGCAGCGGCACGGCGCGGACGGCCAGTGTCTGTGACAGGGGCTGGCTCTTCTTCGCCATCGTAGTCGGGTTTGACCACACCGAGATCCTTCATGAGAGCGTTTGACTTGGGCCGAGCAGATCTTCGAGCACGACCGCGACGACTCCATCTCTTGTTCAACTTCGCCTTGTACTTGATCTCTTCCTTTGTGAGGTAATAGTGAATGATACACTGCTGGAAATCCCGTCCGGGGAGCGACTCGGCGATCTTTCCCCACTTCTTGGGGTAAGCCATGAAGGCATCGGTAAATATCTCGTGTTCCTCCGGCGTGAAGTCGTTGGGAGGAGGTAGGAAGCCAAAAACATCCATCGCGTCCGCAGGGTCGACAGTGTTGTTGGTATCCTTGTAAACCTGCGCCTTTGCCTCCCTTGGCTCGAGCATGTCTGGGATGACGGCTTCCCGGGCAAGGTCTGGCTGGGCCGTAGCCTTGTTTCCCCGACGGCGTTCCAGTTCTTCCTGTGCAGATATTTCGGACGCACGGAGGGCGTTCTGAAAGTCGAGCTCGCTGTTACCTTTGTACCGTCTTCCCTCGGCGACCGGAGGCGTCGGTGCAGCAGGAGGAGCCGGAGGCGTTGCAGCACCTGGAGTGGTGGAGGATTTGGCCTTTGCGCGATCCAGTTCCCAGACTTGCAGTCTCCAAGGCTTGTAGTATGACAAGTACTCCTCGCGAAGCTCCGCATTCTTCCGTGCAATATCCTTCCTCCGTTTAGTCAATTCCTGGCTGAACACATCCTTCATACGAGCGTGGATCGCCGCATTTTCCTGGTAAATTTCAAGATCCGATATTGGTGTAGGCGGGCCAGACTGCAAGAATGGCAAGTTTTTGACAGAGATGCTATCCACGGGGGTAACTAGCTCTAAAGCGAGCTTCGGGGACGTCTCGGGCGTTTTTATTTCAGTGTCTTGCTTGACCACGGTAGGTGTAGGTTCCTCTGCCTCATCGGCCGCCTTAGGAATTTCGACCGGGGGAACAGGGGAGAGAGCAGCTTCGGCTGCAGCCTGCTCGTTGGCAAGGACTCCTAAGAGCTGAATCTGCATTAAGAGCGAAACGATATGCGGATCTTCAAGGGGTGGAGGAGGCATTTCGACGCGGAGCGCCTTCATGTCCTTTTCGAAGATTTGTTTCCGTTCCTCAAGGTACTCCTGCGTGAATACCACGTTCTCGTCTTCATCTTCATCGCTTGATCGGCCAAAGTCTGGTATCAACGCGTTTTCCTGCATGGCGGGTTTGTCTTCCGGGATGACCTTCTTCTCAAACTCGACATCTGCCGCTGGTGCTCGTGGAGGAGTGACATGACGAACTGTGTCAGATTTCAGAGGTTCAGGGGACATGCGCGCGCCGCTTTCGATCTCCTTGTCGGGCAAAATCTCGCCCGCCTCGAGTTCGGAACCGTGGTCATCGGCTTGAGCCGGTGGTTCCCGTTTGGGCTCCTCGCTGATAGACAGACTTCGCTCTTGCCCATCGATGGAATCCCGTTTCGGTGGTGGTACTGCGCCAGCTCCGGCTGTGTGACGATTATAACCAGGTCGAGCCCACTGCGGTTTGCCCTTTGGAGGCCCTCGAGTCGGTGTTGGTCGTTGCTGCAGAGCGCGAGGTCCTGTAGGAATGTGCAAACCGGGTGACGTTGCGCCGACAGAAGGGGTGCGACCCTTGTTGAGTTCGGGGGAAGTGACCATACTACCTGTTTTACTGGCCAAAGACGCTTCTCCATGTGGAGTGCTTATTTCCTTGCTAATCATTGCCGCAGGTGCAGTCGGTGGTGAGAGTTCTGGAGTCTGCTTTCGCACATGAAGAGCAGCGCTGGCGTGCGTTTTGGGTGCACGTGGGATGGAACTGTCTTTTTCGCTCGTCTCCGGGCCTTCATCGCGGCGTACCTCCTCTCGTCGAAACCTTTGTTCTGGTGGTGGTTGGACGGAGGCGCGCTCTGCTTTCGGACCCGTGGGAGGTTGCACTGGCGCACGCGATGGAGGTTCACTGCGTTCCTTCTCTGCAACTAACGGAGCAACCTCAGTCAAAGCTGTATCAACGGCCACCCTGTCCGCAGACAGATCGGGGATCGGCGCGGTGACTGAGCCAAAAGCTGGTACCTGAGGGGCCGCCGGAGGAGGAGACCGCTTGATCGGTAGTAGTGGTGGTAGCTCTTTGACAGAGTCTGGGCGCGATGCAGCCAAATCAGGCCGTATCGAGTCTCGACGAGCTTCGGCCATGGAAGGCTTACGGGGCGGTTCAACGATCGGATGGTCTGGTAGTCGATCCGAGGCTAAAGGGATAGGGCCCAGGGACGCCGAGGGATGGGCTCCAGAGGGAATACGGGCATCAGCTCGAGCTGGAGGTTGATCTCTTTTCCATGCTTCTGCTGGTCGGTCCCGCTCATCGCGGTCCGCCCGTCTGTCCAAATCGTCGCGACGCTCGAACCGATCCCGACGATCTATTAGGTCCCGTTCTCTTTCGCGGTCGCGCCTGTCAATATCCCGTTCGCGATCCCGGTCGATAATTCGTTCCCGATCACGCTCTCGTTCTCGCTCGCGCTCCCGGTCTATGACTCGATCTCTGACTTCTCTTTCTCGGTCGCGATCCCTGTCGCGTTCTCGGTCACGCTCCCAGTCACGCCTACCGTCCCGCGAACGACTCCGCCGACGAAAAGAGTCTCGATCATCCAGATACAGAACCCGACCCCGACCGCGACCGATCTCCCAGTCTCCCCGACCACGCCCGCGCATCGGGCCACCACGAGGGAGATGATTCGGACCAAGGGCGGGGCCATCCGGAGCATTCGACGAAACCGATACCAAGCTATCTCGCGAGCCACGTCGCATTCGAACAATATCCGCGTCGCGCCCTACAGGCTCTCTCATGTCACGGAAGTCGCGCGGCGGAGGCGGAGGCGAACGGGAGCGACCACGGCCAAAACCGATCCGTGCATCTCGAGGGTCGAAGTCTCGCTCGCGTCGGGGCCAGTCCCGGTCAATATCTCGACGGAAAGGCGGGGGTCCATCGCGAGGATCTCGAAAATCCCGGTCTCGCTCCCTGTCCCGATCCCGCGGGTCGCGGTCGCGGTCGCGGAACTCAGCCCGACCGGGAAAGCCTCGACCTCGACCACCAAAGGGAGCTCCCCGGGGATGATCGATCAAGGCCTTGGGGCCGCGAGGGGGCTCTCTGCCCAATGGAGCCAAGTTCGCATCGTCGGAACCACGAGGGCCAGCGGGAGGGCGACGGTCACCAAAACGCTGAGGAGAACGGTCGCGGGAATTGAACCCAGATGATGGAGGATATCGTGAAGACATCACCAGGTCATACTAAAGAGCCTGAAATAAGGTAACCTGGCAGGCAGCCTGCAGCAGGTTAGGTGGAGGTAGTACAAAAGCCCGTTTCAGACTTTCAGTGATCAAAGGGAGGCGAGACAAGCCGAAATTGAAAGCGACCCAATAATGACCAAGCGTGAAGCCTCAGGCCGACGAACCGGTGTGGGGAACACGTGATCTTGAAGAGCGTGGGCACAGTAAAGCACGGACCACTTCGAAATGTTTACGTAACCCTGCACCAGGCCAAATCGGGGACGATCCAAAAAAGGAGCAATCAGCAAAAGTCCACGATTGAGTGCTTAGCGGCAGCCACTTGATGTTTCAGATGTCTGGGTGAGCGATCGAGGCGTGGATCGGTCTCAAGGGCGTCGAGGGAGGGGGAGTCGTCGAGAAGGGTTCTTGAGTCATGAACTCTCTTCTATCAACAGATCAAGTTAGCCAACGGTACCCTGCAACCACTGTACCTCAGTAGCAAATCCAATATGCTGGACGATAATTCCTGAGGCAGATATCTGCCTGGACCCGTCCCTTCAAACTCAGCCGTCACCACGACGTCTTGGTCGATGCACTCAACGACAACCGGAGAAGAAATAAATAACGGCAAATGATACAAGTAATGACAATGACAGGCGCCGTACCTTTCCCTCAAACGCAACGAAGCGTTTCCAGCAATCAGATTACAGTGGTAGACAGCTGCAAGGAGTTGACCACACTAGTAGGTAGACAAGAGGACTAGCTTTGCAGATGAATAAGGTAATCCTTTCACGAGCTGCAACATGCAACTTATCGAAGGCAAAACAGGCAAAGGACGAGATAGAGACAAGAGGGAGAAATTCACGAGGAAAATCACCAGAGATAGAAACCATGGGGCAGCAGTATGGTCGACTAATGTTAGAGGCTTAGAGCTGCCTTGAGCCTTGGGACTGGGAGAAATGCAAAATGGACCTGGATCTGGTAATAATCAGTCCTTGGTGCCTGAGGCTAGGCCCGTCCACAACGCGTGCATGCCTTAGGCATCTTCTAAGTGGGATGATAGGTCATGGGTGAAGCTGGGCTAGTCCATAAACGGCTAGACGCTTTCTCTGGCAGGGTTTCCTGAGGCATCCAAGCGCAACCTAGGTAGGTTTGGTGCCTGATACTCAATAGGATTGTTCCCCCGCCATGCAAAAAAATAGTCACATCGAATTTTTTGCCCGGCTAGAGCTCAGATTCTAGCAACTCCACTCAACTCCGCATCACTTTTCTATCCTCTCCTCAAAGATGACCAACAATCCCTCGGCATCAACAGAGGCTTTGCCTCCGTCATCTGCCACCAATGCCGTGCTCGTCGCCTCCGAACCCGTCCCAGAGGGGTCACACGAGGTCCGCGGTGTCGACTTTGATCGCTTCCAAGGACGAGATATTACCGTTGCGGAAATGGTTGACAACATGGTGCATATGGGTTTTCAAGGAAGTGCCGTTGCGGAGGCTACCCGTATCATCAATGAAATGGTAAGATGGGTTACTTCCGTTGCGAGCATACCTTGCTCTGAGCCCGTGCTGATGTGAGCAGCGAGCATATCGTCACCCTGAAACAGGAGAGAAAACCACGATATTTCTCGGATATACCTCTAATCTCATCTCTTCCGGTCTACGCGACACCATCCGTTATCTAGTCCGTCATCGCCATGTCTCCGCCATCGTTACCACAGCTGGAGGAGTCGAGGAGGATCTGATCAAGTGCCTGGCTCCGACATACATGGGTAGCTTCTCGACGCCAGGTGCCGCGCTGCGGGCCAAAGGACTCAACCGGATTGGGAACCTCCTTGTTCCGAATAGCAACTACTGCGCGTTTGAGGACTGGCTGATTCCCATTCTCGATAAGATGCTGGAGGAGCAGGAAGCGGCAAAGAAAAAGGCCCTTGAGACAAGAGACGAGGAGGATGAACTACACTGGACACCTAGCCGCATTATTGAACGCCTGGGTCGTGAGATCAACCACGAGGACTCGGTACTCTACTGGGCGGCACGCAACAACATCCCAATTTTCTGTCCGGCGCTCACAGACGGTTCGCTTGGAGATATGCTATACTTCCATACCTATCGATCCTCCCCGCAGCGGTTACGCGTGGATATTGTCGACGATGTGCGCCGTATCAACACGATGGCTGTGCGGGCGGCCCGCGCTGGAATGATCATTCTCGGAGGTGGTGTGATTAAGCACCACATTGCCAATGCATGCTTGATGCGGAATGGTGCTGAGCATGCAGTTTACATCAACACCGCCCAGGAATTTGATGGCAGCGACGCCGGTGCACGGCCGGACGAGGCTGTCAGCTGGGGCAAAATCAAGGCTGATGCAAAGGCGGTTAAGGTGTACGCGGAAGCGACAGTGGTCTTTCCAATGATAGTCGCCGCCTCCTTTGCCCGGGCCAGCGACTCGCACAACAACTGACCAGACGATGACAGTCACGAGTTATTGGTTGAGTGCTTGACCCTCATCTGATCCTCATTATACTGAATAATGCTTGGTGGGTGACTGTGTCGCTTCAGGTTACCTGGGCATTCTTCCGCGGCCACTGAAACTTGCATTTACGCAGGTCTATCGTTCAGCATGCCCCTCCTGTTTCAAATCAGGGACACTATCGGGATTCGGGAGCACCTAGAGGGCATTCTGTCAGAGATGGTCCCACATAAGGGATATCCTTCCATGCAAGTCCTCTAGAAAACTTTAGCGGTGGCGACCAGTCTGATAGGTTGTGTCGAAGTGGGGATCTGTCCCATTGTCGAGCGGCATCGGCCTAGAAAGAAGAGGAATATCAGTACCGACTACCGACCCGGAGCATCGGATTACTGGAATTCGAGAGTTTGGGGCGAAGTTCTGAGAGATTTTGAATCTGGTAAACGAATCACAAAAAAATGAGAGTTCATAGGCCAATAGGCCGTCCCACAGATTGATCGTCGTGCCCCGTTTAGACCATTCCAGGCGTTGAAGTTGATTGCTCGAATTGATTTGCCACGGTGCGGAAGGGCGGGAGAAGACAGAGCCAAGGGATAAGCGGAAGGGTAATAGCAAAAGAGAAGAAAAGTACAGAGTATTGTGGACGACCAAAAAAGTCTATTCCTACTGTACCGAGGAAGGCTGTGCCTTATGTGAAAGGCAGAGGCAGAGATAGAGATAGAGATAGAGATGGAGATGGAGATAGAGGCACAAGGCTATCACTACAGTAGTCCAACAACACATTAGGCAGTCATTCCATTTCATTCCAATCCTATCCTATCCTATCCTATCCTATTGATCAATAACTGTCGACCAAGTCAGAGGTTGATCCGCCATTTGCATCCTCAATGGTCAGGCTGTCTCCATCATTCGGCGGTGAGGGGAGACAGACCTGTCTGCATTGCCGCCTCATTCTAAAGGACTAAGGAGCTTCAACGGGTGTCTGTCTGTCTGTCTGTCTGTCTGCTGTCTGTTGGTTCGCCTTTTCTTTTTCTTTTTCTTTTTCTTTTTCTTTTTCCTTTTCCTCTTTTTTGTGCTTTTTCTTTTTTACCCCTTCTTCACCTCCTTTTAACCTCTTCTCTTTCCTTTTCTCTTCCTCCTCTTTCTCTTACCCCGTCAACCCTGAACCCACTGATCGCCCTGATAAGCCCGCCTGCTGTGTCTTATCGGGAAATCGATCTATCCATCCCCTCTTACTCTGTCTTTGGGCTGTCCTCTTTCTTTCTTTCTTTCTCTCTCGTTGGCTTTTCCCTTGTCTTTCATTTCTCTCTTCTTCATATTTCATTGTCATCAACTCAGCTCCTTGTTGCCGTATATGCTTCGTTCCTACTTATAAGCACTCTGACCTGCTAGACGCAGTACTCCAGTGCCTTGTTGTCCTATATTCTATATTCTGTCGAACTTCTTTCGTTCTCTTGCCTCCAGTTCAGTCCCTGCGTACATACGGTTTCTACCCTCTTCTGCAATGGATACTCGAATGGATACTGCGGTTACCGTGGAGCAGCTGCCGCCTGCCGTCACCCTGAGTGTCGATGCTCCCTCGCCAGAATCAGTCACTGTTGGCACAGTCGCAGAGCTTCCGGAGCCCCCCAGCGAAAACAACATTGCAGAGATTCTTGCAAATACTCCTCTAGAGAATGTCGATCCGCAGTCACCTGAACCATCTGATCCCAACCCTGCGCCCCAACCTCCGCAACCTGAGCTCGAACATGCATACTGGGCCGAAATTGAGGAGGACACGTCGGTTCCTGACGAGGCGGAGATGAAGGATATCGAGTCGACAGCAGATGGAGACTATAGTGCATTCGAGTGTAGGTCCTGATGCGGATTTCTGTGACTCAGGGACGACGCAGGTTCGAGATGCTGACCATCACAGACGATTACTGGGAGAAGAACTTCCACCCGGATCTCGACGATCCAGAGTATCGGCCTATTGAAAAAGGTCGCCTGACATGGAAGATCAAGGGCGTCCGAGGGACCAAAGACGCGCCCAACCGCAGCAAGATCATACGTTCCCCTCCTGCTTACATTGGCGGTTACTGGTGGACCGTCAAGTTTTTCCCGCGTGGTAATAACGTGGGTTCCCTGAGCATCTACATCGAATGCTCCCCGACCTGTCCTCAGCCCGACAAGACATTGCCCGAGACTGAGTTCAAAGTGTTGCGGGGACCCGCCGATTCGGTGCTCAACAACGCCGCTCCTGAGGTGGACATGAAGTTTGCCCGAACTGAAGACTCGGCGAGCTGGTTGGAGAATTTCAAGGCACAGTATCCCGCTGCTGCCACCCAGCAAGGTTCTCCGAACGACACCTGGAGAGTGTCGGCCCAGATTGGTGTCATTTTGTACAACCCGGACGAGCCTCGCACAGGTTGGATGCAGTCGTCGTGCCACCAATTCAACCCGCACAACCTTGACTGGGGCTGGACTAATTTCCACGGCCCGTGGGACCAGATCCACCGCCGACAGCGGGGCCAGCGCCAGGCGCTACTCCGCAATGACACGC